GTGTGCCTTGGCAGTCTGATGTTCAGGTGTATATCAGTATGTAGTGTCTCTACTTTAAAGAGTCCTCTCCTGCTGATGTTCAGGTGTATATCAGTATGTAGTGTCTCTTCATGTCTCCGTGCTTTAATGTTCAAAAAGCTCTTTATTGTTCTCATACTGCCTGTGCTGCAGCACCTCTTTTCCCCCTCTGTCTGAAACCAGAGCCCAGTCTGCTCTGATTGGTTAGCTTGCCGGCTCTGTTTTGATTGTTCAACCACTTAGAGATTATCCTATTAGGTCAAATGTATTCGAGCGCTGGCCAATAGTAGCACATGTGTTACATAGTGAGGTGAGGTGTGTGGGAAAAGAACTCCCTCTGAATGGAACACAGGGATTTTAGCCTTTGCAGACCATTCACTAAATCCTATATAACACACTGCAGGAAAGGATGATTACGATGTCCTGTATTCATTTATGAGGTGCTCATGTTAAATAAGCAAATCCCAAACATTAGTTTACGGCCCTTTTTGCATTTCCTCCTAATCACTTCCTTTACCGAATGCAACCCCTTTTTTGAATTACAGCACAGTCACTAATGGTTATGAAACACTTGCTTTTTTTCAACTTTAAATAAAAATATATATTTAAGTACTCACAACACTGTCACTTTCCCGTGCTTCTTTCCCTGAAAAGACAAACAAAAGGGGGTTGACTTTAATTTCCACATTGTTCATTTGATTTTATAAAATAAATTGTTGTTTACAAAAAGTGTCATGTATATTTTCTCACCTTTCATTTTCCTCCATGTGATGAAAGCCACAATGGTTATCAGAAGTGCGACGAGAACCAAAGCCAGAACCGTGTACAACCACCATTCTGAAACGATAATAAATGGGCGAAATTGGAGGTGAGGTGAATAGCGGAGATACTTACATTACATGTAGATGTTAAAACATGTATTTGTTAGTTTATACCCAATCAAAGTTACTTTTGGGACAAAAACTGCATCCAAAAAACTTTAATCTGCAACTAGTTTCACAAAATAAACCAGAAACACTTAATTAAAGGACCAAATACACTAATGCGATATTTCCACCGTAGCTCAAAGAGGAGGAAATATGAAGCGCCACAAAAACAGACTAAATATTTGAGGTACCGTAAACTAGTTTTGTTAAAGATTGCTGAAACTGTCTAGTTTTTACCTGGGTTGTTGATGCGACCTGATGTATTTGTTGTTGTTGTTGTTGTTGTTGATGTTGTTGCTGCTTGTTTGTCCCCATCTGAACAAGATGAACACAACTCTTCAGAAGTAATATGCTTACCATATATTGTGACGTAATGTTTAAACTTTATTAAATCAGATAAACACCCTTTTTATGTAATTTTTCATATAACTTTGAAGTGACTTTAAACAGTGTGATCACAAATGTTCTCACCTGAGGACTGAGGACTGAAGGTCTGCACGTTGCCACCATACTTTACTGCACAAGTAAAAAATGTAGACCTTTGTGTGTAACTATAATGAGAGGTCGGAAATGTCGCAAAAGCAGAGCAGGAAGACTGTGATGTCCTTATATCCTTGTTCTCTTTTTCGACATCTTCACCGTGAAGCAGCCACTTCACTGAGAGTCTACACCCTCCACGTGTCGTCACAGTGCAGCGTAACGTCACCTCATCATTGACCTGATGCTCAGTCACTGAAGATGGAGATATTGTGAGAGAAAGATAATAATTAACTTCAGCACTGTAATAATAATAATTGTAATGTTTTAGTATTTTGCTCTACAGAGAACGTTAGGAAAACATTATGATGTAAATACTCACTGGTAACAACAGACAGGTCAACCTGAAAGTCTGAACCTTGTTGTTGACCTGCTTTGTTGAACTGTCTGCAGGTGTAATAACCAGCATCCTCCTCTGTGACCTTCTTTATAACCAGAGAACATTTCTCTGTAACTCTCAGTCTGTCTGATTTAGCATGGTTACCAATCTGCCCACCTTTAACCAGCTCTACTGCGCTTCCTGAATCACTGAAGAGCCAGGTAGTACTGTTACATTCATCCTGATCATGGGTCACTTTGTTACACGGCAAAGTGGCTTCATCTCCANGGTAGAAGTGAGAGTGTCCAACCGTTAGTCTAGACTACATCTGGCAGTACTAATAACGTGTCCATACGGAATCGACGGTGTTATTTTCCTGGTGATGACTTTGCACGTAACACGAATACCCCCCAGACCCCCAGGCTTTTGGTCAGTATAGACCAACTCCCAATCCTCATCCCAATCCCAATCCCATTACAAACATAGCTCACGGGTACCCACACACCCCATATCCTACCGTCGCATACACATACCTGCTACTTGTGCCCGAGTGAGCTACAGTGTTGTAATCGGATATGGATTGGAGTGTGGTCTATGACTGTACCAAAAGCCTAGGGGGGGTCTGAGGGGTTAACTCGTTTTGACGTACAAAAGTCTCACCGGAAAATACACCGTTCAGATTCCGTGGGACACGTTATTAGTACGACAGATTATTCGTAGAACATACGGTGTGGACACTCCACCCTACCCAATGAGCCGTTTCTCTTCACGAGTGATAGTGTCTAAAAAAGTCTAACACTTGTTATGAACTCTCTTACCAATAAACACAATATATTTACAAATCTATAAATCTCAAGTAGAGTACTTTTTAACCTCGTTTTTGTTTTCACAACGCAATATAAAACAAGTCACATCTATTTCCCCACCAGTATGAAATTGTGAAGTCGTTTTACATCCTACTATCATCATATAAAAAAACACACCATTCACAGTAAGTGGACAGTTTGAAACAAAATTTAATATTTATTATGTTGTATGTATCTCTTAGGTTATGGAGTCCTACTTGTTATGGTCATTAGTGACAATTGTTACAGGGGTTGGTTCGCAAAACAGTCTTTAATTTCTGGGAAATCTTTGACCACGGTCCGTTCCTGTTTTCGAACTACTCTGTCACCGTTGCCATTGATTCCCTCGCCCACTGTTTTCCCATCCTAATCCGTTGTACCTACCACAGAGTGATTCTCATCTCAAGAAAAATGATATTTCATAGCGTGATAATGTTAGAAATTACAACCTACTTTGTTTTTGTTATAGACTAACAATTATAAAAACTGTTAGAGTCTAAACGCGTAATGTATTATTAGCCGTACGTTCACCGTAAACCCGGTTCGGACAACGTAAAATCTCTCTTGTGCATTATACTATTTAGGAGAACTCTCGTACTTTATTGAATGTCTTTTGTTGTTTCATTATGGTATTATTTATTTACTCCCTTTGTCTTTTGGTCACCGCTGATAATTGGGACAAACCTTTTTTCTTATAAATTAGTATCAAAAGAGCATTACCTTTACCGATATAATAAATTAACTGTTATATATATTAATTTGTAAAGTAAAGCAACAACTTAATAAGTACGTACTTGTACTAATTCGGTCGTATTCATCACTATTTATATTCCTTAATCATGTTACATAAAATTTGGAAAAGTTCCCTTGGTAGAGATTTGTGAAACGTTGTGTATGTATTGTTAAGGTTTAGTCGTAAGACGCAGGAACGTATAGTGATATAGTAATTGATTTTCACTCATAATTATAGTTTTAACCTATTCGAAGTATATAACCGCTTCATATAACTTAGGATACCAAACACATACAGACAGGAGACAAGGACCTAAATAAACTTTTCACAAGGGGAGACGGCAGAAAATTTGACCACTACACAAGTGAAGACCACGGCGGACACACACAAGAGGGGGGAGTGGCACAGAACAACCGAACTAATCTGACACCATCACATCCGGCAAAAAGACATCACACACACAACTCCAAACAACGACCACTGACCACAAGTCCCCTCCGTCGTATAACTCCGACATAGTACATGGTGTTTCTCCTTCGTTACGGGTGTGGCACAATTATAAACTTGAGAGACGGAGACGAGAATGAACCGGCCGGACGGCGAGTGCCAGTCGATGTCGTAATTGTCACTTTACGTAAAACTTACTATAACTCTACGGTAATCCCTGTGAGGTTTCACAAAAGTTGAATGAATACTTTACTTACGGTTTGGTATTTTTAATGTAACATTGCCTTACGAACCACATATAAAACAGTCCTAAAATAGGAAATTGACGGGTGGTATTTTCTTAAAGTTCCTGCGGATGGAAGGTATGATGCATTGTAACGTTAACGTTTTAGTCCGATAGAACGAGTTTTGTTACGTCTCTTTTGATCAGGTAACGAAAAATGAAGTTCGACCTATTAACATGGGATATAGTCCCACACGGTTCTTCAGTCAGTTCAGCGAAGTCGACTTAAGTTTTTTCGACTCGAGCACATGATTGGTTCCATCCTTTTCCGGTGTAATGCGGCAAGCCAGACGGATGTGACCGAAGGGATATCTGTGTCCTATCTTAATTTAAACCAGAAGTAGCGGATGTTTCGGATTACCCGTCCCACGGTAGATGGTAATTTTTGGTTGGGGTCGAAGGGGTTTAAAGAAAGAAAAACACGATATATGCGGGGCCCTAGGCCTCAGTACTCTAGGACCGCCAGGACCAGTACCAGCGCTCAGGACTATAACCTCAGCACCCGACACCGAGGGGACCTATAGGCTTAGGGACCTACCTCAGGGAGCACCGTAGTAGAAGGATAATATGTGTGTACGTAAGGGTTGAAACCTTGTGGATACAACGTTTCATAATAGGAAAAGTTAAATGTGGGCCTTAGATAACGTCAGACAGGCAGCGCCCCTCTCCCTAGGGAGAGGAGGACAACGAGAGGGACTCCAAAAGAGGGTACAGGGAAATTGACATCCAAAAGAGGCTTCAGGAAAAGGACATGCTACACTCCGATTCCTGTTCCCCAAGCATGAACAGTATGCTATAAGACATGTTTGACTACTTCAGGTGACTCTGTATTACATGCTTTTAAACACTATACCCCGAATATTTATATTTAACTACCTAACTAACTATGTGAAAGTAAATCGACTGAAATAGGTTTCAACTAGAATGTTAGATGCCAATGTCCCTGTAAGAAGGGACCTCATTGATTCCCGTTCACGAATGAGTTCCCTGTGATCACCACCACAGGACGCCCTAAACTTGAGTGGTTTGGAACGGCAGAAAGTCGGGGTGGAGTGATAGACTATCTGGTTGGTGATACGTTGTGCTAGTTTTGTTTGGTTGATTTGTACCAATATTCTTCTAAGTGATACGACACAAAAGCTAATTCTTTGACTATTGGATGTTATATTCAATAATGATGACAGCTTGAACACGTAGAACTAATAACTTCTGTGTGTTGATAAGTGGGAGTAACTGTGGCAATCATAAAATTTAAGGGTTATAGAGGGAGTAGCGGTAATACTTACGTGGTAGGCTCTACTCCAGACTATAGAAGAGGGGACCAAATAGTAGTTGAAGTTAGCCCTTTGTCGAGCCGGTTTACACAACCGTAGTATAAGAACGAGAAAAGTAGGTAGTCTACACCTGGCTACTTAGATCACGCACAACTAGGTTCTTGGAAACATTCGTAAAATTAATAAACCTTTGTGATGGAATAACTCGCACAAATTACCAACCAAGAACTTCTAACACTCTGACTTAGAACCTTAGTTGTTAGGTTTCAAACTTCTAGGACAACGGTGATGGTTGTTGTAGACCGGAGAAAATGAACGACCATTATTTCCTTTCCAAATTGTAGACGGCCACTAAAGGTGTTACCGGTAGGCGGTATTAGGAATGTTTGTGAATAGACACTTTTGTGGAGTCTTAAAGTAATCGATAAGGGGAACACTTAAAGGAAAAACGAACGGTCGTTGAGTACGACGGTGGTATCAGGTATTTTAGTACGTTATCTAAGGGAACCTCCAACAGTCGGATCGAAACTCTTGACGATTTTCGAATGGGACAACGCGTAGACAGTAGACGAAGACCGAAGTGTGTTAACTGGTTGTGCAGGAGGTCCAGTCGAAGTGGTTGTTTGGTGTCCGTGACGCTGCTTACAGTTTTTAATGACTGGTACCGTCACGCAAAACTTCCCACCATCGCTGGATTTTGAAATGTACACTCCCAGTAACTTATGTACTAACCATAGTATCGACTAGGCATCATTGCCGTCCTTTTGTACTTAATGCAGTAGTTTATTGCGTTAGGATAGAATGGGAAAAGATTATGATGGTAGTGTATGTCATAAATTGACATTCAATTGTGTCACAACACTATGTCTCAACCTCAAATAAGTGTGAGTCTGTTGATGTCACCCATTAAAGGTCTTTGTAACTTTGATCACGCGGTGTATTACTTGTCCTTTTTTTCTTTTCTGAGACTTGGGAATAGAAACGGTAATTTTTTTATCCACAACGATGTTTCCATTTGAATCCGAATGATTATTCTGTTGAGGCTAGACTTCGATGGTGTCGCTGACGACGGCATTCCACGTTATTTTTTCTGTTTAATTATCTTTTAGTTCGAAAAACAACGTTATCTCGATAGTTGTTTCTTTCGGAACTTTTGATCTACGTTGCGTTGTGATCAAAGAGTTTGGACTTAACTATTATCTAGATATTAGTCTAAATTCAAACGTAAGAATGTGGTAAAACCATGTCTATTATATTATTCAGTTTATTGATTTTGAATGTCGACTAATTTTGCCATAGATTGAACTCAAAATAATAGAGTTTTGGACAAACTTTTACGTGGACAATAAAAATGTCGGGGTTTTTCGGCAGCGTCGCATGTCCTTTCGAAGAAAGTTTTGAAGCGGTCAGGAACTTTCTGAAGTATCAAAACAACGTTCTTGTCACCGATCTGGTGCTGACTCTACGATACCATCGTCGAAGGAGTAACAACAACCCGGCCCCCTTTTACCTGACGACACAGTAAATCGAAAAGGAAAGTCCAGAGAGGGGAAAACCTCGCATCTCCGTCTTAATCCTCCCTTGAGGCGAGCATCGCAAACACGTGGGAAAACTTTACCGGCGAGGATTTAATGGGAAGACAGCATTCGGTGCGAGTGTACCACGTCTACTTTGTCTACCTGAAACCTTAACCTTTCTATCGTTTTTAATTTAGTAGGAGACGGTGAGCCTAACTTTTACCTATATAAAACCGTCTGACTTCCCTTCATGGCCATGAGCATTGTCTGTGGGACTTCTACGCTTGAGCGTGGCACATAGTCTTAAAGGACACACCATTTCATATGACCCTACACCTTTATGCGTAGTAAAGTCTAGCTGACTTCAACTTGTCAGCCAACAGCGTGCTCTGCTCGTCTCTAAACACTCCCTCGTACACTTAAACATAGCAATACTCTATAAAAGTCTCGAGAGTTTAGGTCATAACCGGCTTAAGGCAAGGGATGTTCGGGACCCACGGAGGGGCCCGAACACTTATGTCTTACGAGCTCTTCGGCTCCCCCCCACTGTCGCTTAACCTGGATTCGGGCCATGACCGACTTTTGGGTTCGTCTTCGACACTCGTAGAAAGGTGGAAGCGGGAATTTCGCGCTCGTCGGGCGCAGTGCGAGAGAAGGGAGAACTCAGAGATAAACACACAATCCCCGGGAGATCGCACGCTTGTGCACGCCATGGTGGGTCCAACCTATGGAGGTCGGCTGTGAGCCGCGTAGCGCGCACCGCGCACCAGAAGTGTCGAGGTGGCGTCGAGCGTGTACGCCCGCACGCCCGTCGAAAGTGTCTGCCGGCGATATAGGGAAAACTCCTTCCGACATCGACGGAAGTTTTCTCCCTGTCCACTTGTCTGAACAAATAACAATATAACACAAACGGAAAAGTAAAAACCTGACCCCGCGGGGAGCCGAACTTCGGACTACCGCTGTCACTTTTTACCAATAATCTTTTTGGTTGCCTAACACACTGTACTACAAAAACCTGAATACGTCTATCGTCTGGGCGCAGAGACCATAATTCAGGGCCAAGGAGAAGACCGCGCTTGTACTCCTATTCGAACGCCATAGGAGTCTCCGCCGCCTTCTACCCCCCGGACCACCGTGGGGGCTTTTGTGTAGTACCTCCGACCCTTGTCCCTTGCAAGGTCGAGACAGGTGGCTCCTCCTACTCCTCTCCTCCGTCAGTCCGGCCGGTCGACGAGAAGGAGCTGACACTGCGCTTTTAACTCAGCCGACACGGCACTTGCCGGGACGCGGCCTTGGGCTCTAAAAAGCGTCGAGCAGGAGCAGAGGACGACCCGACCCCTGAGCCCCCTATCCCCTGTGTGCCTCACAATCACAGATTTTTTCAGATTTGTGAACAATATTTGAGAGAAATGGTTATTTTGTGTATATAGAAAATGTTTTAGATCTTTGAGTTCATCTCATGAAAAATTGGAGCAAAAACAAAAGTGTTGCGTTTATATTTTTGTTCAGTGTAGATAAACTTAAGGATCAGTAAACAGGTGGTAGACAACAGAGCAGTTTACTATTTCGAAGTTATACGGCCTAGTGTGTTTGAAAGGAACTGATAAGGTTTGCCCACTAAACAAAACATCTGAAGCAGGCGAGATACTGCGTGGGTGGCTGAAGATGTGATAATGTATCAGGGGAAGAGAAAGAAGGGGTGTGCAGAAAAAGAAAAGGAAAGACAAAGCGTAAAATACAGACATCTAAAATAAGCACTGTATAAAACCCCTGGTGATACAGATCCAGATACACTAAAGGGGGCAAGGGTCCTATAATAACAGATAAGACACAGCCTATGATAAATGATATTGTTCTTTTTTGCAACCAGTCAATCCTTATGTATTGCAATCATTGTAAATGGCCACCAAAGCCAGGTATAGTGTCCTGATGTGTCCGCCAGCTGAGCTATAAAGATGTAAACGCTATACCATAAATGTCTCCTTTGAAGTTTGAATTTCCTGAACAAATGTAAGTAAAACACTCTCAGGGAGGGAAAAGGAGGGATACTCTTGGCAGACATTTGTATGCTGGAAAATATCAACAGTATCTACTTATTTCTGTGGAGAAAAAATGTTCAGTACTAAATGAAAAATATATTTAATGTTTTTTCAGTTTGTGTGCAATTCGAACAAAATATGAAAGTTTTTGGCCCCTTTTCATTTAGTGTGCTTTTTACCTTTCTAGATGGCCAGTCATTTTGCGGTAATAATACCCTGCATTCTGTTAAAGTCATTTTTAGTTTACATGCATGCAGATGTGAACAAATGCAATTGAAATCAATACAATGTTTTGATTTCATGATATGATAAACACTTTAACTGCTCTTTGAATAGTCACAATCATACTCCACTGAGAAGCAATCAGTCACCCAGTGTTATGTCTGAATGTTGTTGAAAGGAGCACTTCTCCCCTAAAACGAACATTGGTATACCAATTACTCACCCTATGTTACCAATAATTCTTTAAAAAAGCTTCCTTTTTTTGGTTTGCCTCAACAGGCCACAAAGATTAAAACAATTTAGAAAAAGTGTGATTAATGGAAGCAAATGGGGTTTATAAAACGCCCATTAAAACATCCTTTTGCAAATTCTCACAAAACTTGTGTGTTCTATCCAATATTAATAATAATAATAATAATACATTATATTTCTATAGCGCTTTTCTTGAACCCAAAGACGCTTTACATTATGAGGGAGGGTAGACAAACAAGGACAGGCAAAAACAAACAAAAATTATTCATTTACAAAAATACAAAAATCATTCATTTATTCAGTCTTATGTACATTACTTCCCAAACACAAGCATATTTTTCTATTTAACTTATAACTGTTTAACTTAGCGGCCCCTATTTACTTGAATTCATCTTGACTTTTTCTCTGTTTTCGATTTTTTCATTAACCGTATAAGCACGCGAGGAGAAGCATATTAGTATTAGTTGTAAAATGTACTTAAAGGTGTGGTAGGTATTTTCGGAGAAACCAGCTCGAGTGTGCTAGAATTTGAAAATACACAACCGGAGAAAATCTGCCACTTCCTTACAGAGCCCTTCCTCCAACACACACAGACGCGCACATGACCAATGAGGGCACGAGATAAGTGTGTGCACAGATGGAAGGCTGACAGGCAGGTAGGCCATCCAGTTATTTTAGCCAGGCCGGCTCAGATGATTGGTCGTGCTTTTTACAGTACTACGGCTTCCACAGATGAAATCTTTTTATGGATTTTTTGTCAAAGCACTTCAGATATTCATTGCTATCGGGATGTTAAGAGCATTCCATGGAATATAACAAAAAGTGTATCTCGAGCCGGTTTCTCAAACTTACCTACCCCACCTTTAATGTATTTATATAAAAAAAATACATTTGCATTGTGGGATTTATCTCAATTCATGATCTATAATAAACTATACTGTATACGTCTTTTAATCTTCATTTTGTTACAATTATGGTGACTGTCAAAATGACTCGGGTCATTTTCCTTACATATGCACAGTTTGATTTACAGCAATGCATCATATGTGATTAATGCATTACAAGTCTGTAAATCTAAATTTGTTAAGTCGTGAGCAACTGTCAAAATATGTAGTAAAGTCAAAAGTACAACTGTTTCGTAGAGAAGTACAAGTGGAAGCATAAAATGGAAATCCTGAAGTGCAGTTGCGTCTTTAGTTGTGTTCATTTAAATGTGTACGGTAGTTACATTCCATCGCTGAAAATAATTAACTTTAAACAGCAAGTGACATTTCCATTGTCATATCTGCTTCCTGCAGACTGTGAAGGTAATGCAATGTGCATGTTCTGGTTCTCAGGTCATCTCAGGCACAGCAGTCCTGTAGGTGTGTCCGTTCAATCACTGCGGTCTGATTAGAGGAATTCAGTAGTTAATTAATGAGTGGAGCCAGTCCGGATCAAGCGGGGGTGTAATGAGTACCCTGGAGTTTTGATTATGCGACTGCAGTGGCAGCCCCTCTCTGTGTTTTCGACTCACAGCTCTCTGCCTGCTTTCCACTCGGGCGTGACAGAAAATAGTCTTTAAATCCCTTAAAAAGAGTAACATGGGAAAATCAACATGTACACCCACACATCACTTATCTGCTCAACATTTTCCTCCAAGTTTATTGTAGCATGTCATGTTTGTTACACTATTGGGATAGAGTAGTGTTGGAGCAACCTCTGAGTGAAAAAGAGAATCTGTGAGTCTATAAGAAGCTGCTTTCTGCTGCAGGCGAAATGTGAAGCTCATCTCCCCTCGTACACTCTGCTGACATACCATGCTAGTACTCTAAAAGGGTCTGTAACTTCACATTCCAGCAATGAAACACGCTCAAGTTGTATTGATGTCTTGACTGAACACAAAACTTTTACATTATGTGCCCTTTTACCACCATGTGACATTTAGCCTTTAGCACCCTGTGCACTGTCAGGAAGAACATGTCACTTAAATTGTGTACAAGGGGGAATAAGACGCACTCTCCAGGTATTAACAGCTACACGCTGCAGTGAAGACACCGACCTTCAGACAGACTAGTTGAGCTGTCAGGTTGAGTTAACACCCCTAAAAGACGTAGTAAAGTAGACATGGTTTTAAAAGAGGGAGTTTCACAATGAGCAAGGTGACACGAAAGAGACATTTCAGGGAAAGGTCACATCATGTACGTCATTACCCTGTGAAAGCACATCCAAAAAGTGTTGTTCTTTGTACTTGCACAAGACATACACCAGGATTCTTATTTTTTTTCCAACCTTAACCATTCAAAGTGTGTGTGTGTGTGTGTGTGTGTGTGTGTGTGTGTGTGTGTGTGTGTGTGTGTGTGTGTGTGTGTGTGTGTGTGTGTGCTCCGATATCTGACACTCTCAGACAGCCAGTAGCATGGCTCAGTGAGAGAGATGTGGAGATCACTGGACCATGGTCTGTCTTATCCTGACACACACACACACACACACACACACACACACACACACACACACACACACACACACACACACACACACACACACACACACACACACTCCAGACAGCCACTGAGGCCACCTAGATAATACACCTCTCCTGTGCTGGTGTTACGACATTAAATTGAGATTCTTTTTATATAAACTAACCAAGGGTAAAATATAATCGTGCAGTTTAAGCCTGTAAATCCCGGCTACAGAAATCCTACATAATAAGGTTTTCTTATTGGCAAATGTACAATAAAAAAATAAAAACAGCAGAAAACCCCTTTAGCAACTGTTTGCATTTGCAGTTTTCTTGACTTTTTGGCTTTCCGCATGCATACATAATGTTGTATACATTTATAAAAGACGTAGCCGCTGCTACGGGGCGCCAGCCAGGTACCAAAAAAAAAAAAAAAAGGAAAAGAAAGCTAAGTACAGTTTTGGGTTGTTGGGATCACTTTCCTCTTTGAAGAGATTGTTTTGTTACCAGGAAAGCAGTGTGTGTGTTTGTTTAAACGCCTGTAATGCCACATTTATCCATGTACGAACGAGAGTCGGGAGTGTTGGAGCGTGGTGTAGTCACAGCAGGGCAAAGCCTCTCAGGGAACAGGCCGCATTGGATCGATGAGTTAACAAAGCATGTGGCTTTGAAAAGTGTGTGAGAGACTGCTGTTCGCTCACTGTTTCTTCCAAAAAACAAAAAAAGCTGTTTTTTTTTTAACTACAATCTGTCAGTAATGAAGTTATTTTTCGTTTTAACCATGGCCATGATAGTTTATTTCATTTGAATTAAGTATCTCTTTCTCCAAATGACAATCTTTTATCTTTCTGTAGCTTTAAAGGTAAACAACTCAGGGTTAGGGTTACTCCACCTACTTGCATGTTTATAAGTGACCATATCACACCATCTTCCTTTGTAGATTATTAAGGAACTGAAAGATATTTCAAAGAACAAAGTTTGAATTTTAGGTCAACTGAGGTCAAAAAGGTGTAGATCTTGATCATTTATGGTAAATAAAACTGGGCTCTTGGTTCTTAATTACATTGACAAGCGTCAGCCTAATGAGTTGACCCAAAGTTGCAACTGTTTTTCCAATTATCATACTGATAATACATGTATAATACATCAAATTGTTTGTATTCCAGTTTATAGTTCGAAGAGAATGGTTCCAAATGGCTGAAATCAGTTGTAAACCCATTTCAGGTTGATGCCCTACAAGTTCAGTTTTTTTGTTAGCAAGAGAGTAATTTCAAATATGAAACTACAGTTCTTTATATGTAATGCAAATTAAAACATTACACTCAGTTTATGATGTCTTTAATACTTTGTGAGAAAATAAATAAAAAATGTTGTAACATCAAGAGCAAAGATTATATTTGCATTTACAATAGTTTTGCACTTTCGCATTTAAACAGCATGTATTTCTTTGGTAGGTTGACACAAAAATATCATAAGCCCTATTTGTTTTGACCATTAGAGTGCAACAGCAATACAAAAGTTTCCTGTCCATGGTAGTGAAACTTTTGAATCCAGTCTTGCCAATTTGCCGCCTTCCAGACTTTGTTATACATATTGTATTGTGTATTTTATAGAAAGCAACATGTTTTCCAGAATTTCTATTAGTTTGGTTTGTTTTTTGAGTTACTGTCGAACTATGGTCCGAAGTTTCTCTTTACTTATACACCTGCAAGGAAACAAACACTATACTGATATACATTGTACATTTAAATAACAATATTTTGTCTTGTGGTTTTTCTGCCTTTTTCTCTCCTCATCAACTTCCTTCCACCACTTTCCTTCCCCTTTGTCCGACTCCTTTCAGATTTCTATCCAACACATCATTTGAGGGCCAGACGGGTTTTATATCCAGAGACTCTTTCAGCCAGAATGTCATCTCAGAGGCCCATCACTACATCTGGTCCCTCCAGCTGGACCCTCTAGGCCAGCCAACCTGGACCCGTCTGGGACGCTGGCGCAAGGGGGAAGTTCTCATGGACCGCCGGGCCTGGCCGAGCCATCAGGGATCTGGGGGCGGAGGAGACTGGCGCCGATCCGCGCGACTGCACATGCGGGTGGTGACGCTGGTCGAGCACCCGTTTGTGTTTACCCGCGAGGTGGACAGCGATGGGATGTGTCCCGCGGGCCAGTTGTGCCTCGATCCGCTCACCAATGATTCTTCGGTTGTTAAAGGATTATTCAAGAAGCTCTCGGGACGCAATGGATCTGTCCCCACAGAATTGAAAAAGTGCTGTTATGGTTACTGCATAGACCTGCTGGAGAAGCTGGCAGAGGACATGGGCTTCACCTTTGACCTCTATATTGTAGGCGATGGGAAGTATGGTGGGTTCAAGAATGGGCGGTGGACAGGATTGGTGGGGGATCTGCTCAGTGGCGCCGCCCACCTGGCAGTGACATCTTTTAGCATTAATTCAGCCAGGAGCCAAGTCATCGACTTCACTTCCCCCTTCTTCTCCACCAGCCTGGGAATTCTGGTCAGTACTCCCTCTTCCTCTCTCACCCTTTCTACAGAAACTCTCTGGCTCTCTTGCTATGACCTCTCCTCAACTCTCGCCGCTTTGTATGCTGGTGGTCAGTGTCAATATTGTGGAGTGTTATTACTGCAGGCACTACGTTATTGGATTGTAATGCTATTCCCCTATGGGGCTAGGCTGGTTAGCAAACAGCTTTGTAAGGGGATCCTATTACTACAATTACCGCAAAGTGATAGGGAAATACTCTCCCCTCTAAAGACACCGCTACAGTTGTTGATGTTCTGATTTACAATCCCCCTTTTTTTCTATATTTTGTTAGTAATCATCCCTTTTACAACTCTTTTCCCAGTTGGATAATGACACTAATTGTTGTCCAGTTGATGTTAGGATTCTGAGGATCTAGCTTTCTTTTTTATTTGCTATTTCCTATCTGGCCTGCTACCGATTCATTCCTTCCCTTTTTAATCATGCTTCCATTAAATTTTGTCCTGTATCAGTTCCTCGCTCAAATAAGTCGAGCATCATGTAAAATAATTTACTGAATTTCTGATAAGAAACAAGCTAAACCGACAGATGTGGCGTGTAACACAACAAAATATACAGATAACTCTCCAATTTCCATACTCACCTGCTTTTGGATTTCCAGTCCTAACCCCGCTATATCCTCAGGATGTATAAACAAAAACACAACCCAATTGAAATTTACTTTAAGCCTTTGAAAAACCACACATGTTCTTACTTAGATAATATCAGTTGGTTGTCTAATCCTGTGTTCCCCATGCCCAGGTTCGTACACGCGACACAGCTGCACCCATCGGTGCCTTCATGTGGCCTCTCCATTGGTCCATGTGGCTCGGCATCTTCGTTTCACTCCACGTCACCGCTGTTTTCCTCACCCTGTATGAGTGGTTCAGCCCGTTTGGTATGACCCCACGTGGACGCAACCGCGACCGGGTCTTCTCCTTCTCCTCGGCGCTCAACGTGTGCTACGCCATTTTATTTGGGAGAACGGTGGCCATCAAGCCGCCAAAGTGCTGGACAGGCCGCCTGCTGATGAACCTCTGGGCCATCTTCTGTCTGTTCTGTCTGTCCACCTACACCGCTAACCTAGCTGCCGTCATGGTCGGGGAGAAGACCTACGAACAACTGTCAGGGATACATGACCCAAAGGTACAGAGATGTGCAACTCTGCAAACAATGGATGCTTCTCAAGCTGGCATTTTAAGTTTTGGGGCTGTTTCTCTCTGCGGTCCTCTCATTGGTTTAAAGTTAGAAGAAGATGATGTAAGGTTCTTCCTTGCACCAATCAGGATTGAGCAACATTTAAATCCCAATCTGATGAAAATTTGGGTTGTTTGGTCACTGATATTCAAATCTAATTAAACCCACGTCCTGATGGAGCAGATACATGTTCACCTGGAGATATCTTTTTAATGTCCTTATTTTGTCACTAATATTTCACTAGCAAGAAAAATACGTAGTCAGGGCTTTAATTCAATCAAAAGACAAAATAAATGTCTTCTTTTTATATGTTTTTTTATTTGTTTTGGTAAATAAAGTTCACGTTTTGGTTACCAGATGTTTAGAAATGTTTTGACAGAATCTTCTGTTTAAAAAAAGGGTTTAGAAATTGGCTAGATTTAATTTGTTTGCTCAAGGCTGAGGTCTTTTTCTTGCAAAATATCCCTGATCTATTTAATAAAATGGCAGACTGCAGTGTTTTTTATCTTTTGAACATTTCAGAAGAGCTGTTGTTTTTAACTTTAAAACTTAAATTAGGAAATGGAGTTTTTAATTAAACATACTTTGTAAGGGCAAATGGGGTAAGGTAATTACTGTTTGTTGTCAACTCACCAACTCTTTGAATACCAACAGTGCAGGTATATTTAGAGTCAGAAAACAAAAGAAGTATAAGTATAAAGGACTCCTGCTGCATTTGAGAATAAAAAAATGCCAACTGAAGTTGAGAGAGACAACAGACTAAAATGAAAAGTAGTACTAAAAGATTCTGACAGCATTCTAAGCGTAACATCTTGGTTTATTTTTTTCTTTCCTGCAGTTGCACCATCCGTCTCAGGGATTCCGATTCGCCACAGTTAAAGAAAGCAGCGCGGAGGACTACCTCAAGAAGAGTTTTCCTGAGATGCACGAGTACATGAGAAGATACAATGTCCCGGCAACACCAGATGGCATACATAATCTCAAGTAAGACAATGTCCACACACTGCACTCTAAAAGAAAAGTCAAAATCTAAAAAAAGTAGAAATGTCATCCCCATCACCAGCTGGCCTGTTTGCATTCAGAACTCATATTCCTCCTTACCCTGCCACTGCTGTCATCTTAAGCTGCTTCGACATTCAACGGGCATCCCCGCGGAGCAAAGCAGAATAAAGTGAGGGAAGGCAGCTGAAAGCAATGCCCTGGCTGGGAAGGGCACAATTTGAATGGATGAAACAAGATTTTTTTTTTTTTTCTGAGCTTGTAAAGTGCTGATTAGAGGGTTCAAGGGGAAATGTCATCTTTAGAAAATTACAAGTGGAACAAGACAGCATACAATATGCCGCAGTGCAGCTTTGAATACCCTGTTCTCAGAGATTACTACCAGAGGGGCAAGGCATATCACATAATCATACAATAGACCGAAGCCTCTGTTATTGTAGTACAATGCATCTCCCAATTTACTGCATTAAGGTGTTACTCAATGTGATTTCCCAACTAAATATTCATGAATTGGTTAAAACCAATGAAAAATATGTTTTTATATTTATATTGTAACCTTTATATGTACAACCAGAAGGGCACTTACAGCCATCTGCCAAGGCCGTATTCTGGGGTGAAAAATATTTTGTATCTGCATGTGGTTTTCGGATCCACTCCAAGATTTAATGGGTTTCCTTCTTGGCCCACGCTAGACCGCAACACTGAGTTTCATAAACATCAGACCAGTATTTTTGTTTTCTGCTGACAGAATGAGAAACAAACCAAACAAGTGTTTAAAGTGCTTTTATTTTTACGAGAAGCCTTACCTTTATAGTTTCTTCAAATGTACATTTGAATTGTACTGGTTGTGGGGATAATGTTGGTTTTGTCCGTCCATTCCATTCTCGTAAATACGATATCTCCGGAATTCTTTGAGGTTATTCAAATTTTCCACAAATGTCCACTTTGCAATTCCCCAACACCTAACTGCCCCACCCATCTAGACACCTGTTCCCACTTTCCCCGTTAACCCTGCTGTTACCCACTCTCCCACCTGTTTCCACTTCCTCTCATCAGTCACTTGCAAGCCTTTTGTTCCTTTCACTGTATCCACTCTCTCTGAACCCCTGTGACAAGTTTTGGATTTTGTTTACATGCTGATGACTCATACACCATCAGTCGTGATTTTTTCAGACTGAAAGAGGTGTTCTTGCAATTCTCTTGGTTCCCATTCTTGCAAACCATTCTGAATTGACTTAATGAACATGTCCAACCAGTCATTTAAACAAACAAAAACTACTAACTGCAGCGTGTCTGCTGTATGAATGTGAATTTTAAGAAGTGCAATCCCTGAAGCGTTAGCCGCCATTAAACTGTTTTGTGTTGTTGTTGCTAGCTTATTAAACTGACAGCGATATTAGAATGTGCTGCTTTTATTTCCTTTAATACAGTCTCTTAAAAAAAGAACACACCTGAAACAGAACAGTTTATTGTATGGTTTGTTAACCTCGGTGCTAACAGGTCTTACTTACCTTGTGATGTGAAGACTTTTCCCTGACATGCATTGCATTTAAAAAATAAATTAAATTGCTCTTTCCCACATCATTTTGTATTAAGTAAAACCCTTAAACAATAATGTGCTCTGTCACCTGTTTAGTTTTCCATTAATGTCATGCTATTGCCAATACATGATTCAGCTACTTTTACAACAATTTCTACAGGAAGAGAATAAGGTGGGCATCATGTTTTAACCATACTGGTCGGGTAATTGGTGGATGTCAAGGTAGTTTTCTGAAAATAAAATACATAACATCAATACTGTACTATCATGGAAAGACCAAGGACATAAGTTGCAGCTTAATTCAACCTGTAATAATGAACAGACAGCTTTTGGGTGGAAGATAGCAGAGGATTTCCAAGCGCCGTCCTTAATAAAAAGCAAAAAAATAAAGAGAGAAATCTTGAAAAAAGGCTTTGCAGCATTGGTGTCCCTGTAGGCTGTACCTGTCAGTAAAGGGTTGATTTGTAAAAGCCTCGCTGAGTGTTGTGAATTAATATCTCGCCTCAGTATAACAGACTTGGAGTGAGGAATGAGAGTAAATTGGCAGAAACTGGCAGACAGGCAGTCATTTCACTGGCATAAGACCAGTTTTGGGAAACCAGCGGTAAATGGGTGAGAGAAGTTTGTTGAATAATTTACATCCCATTTACAGTGATTTGGTGAACTGCCCTGTGAAGATCCCAAACCCCTCAAGCAAAACACTTCATTCAAACATTATTTTTAATTTGTCGTGCTCTACTTCTCTTTTTTTTGCCTTTCTTACCAATGATTTATTGGACACAACATAAATAACCCCCCCCACCAGGCTGTTTACCCATTTAACCTGACCCTATTCTTAAAATGAAAAGAAAGCGAATAGTTCAAGACCCTACCAAAACCATCCTTTTTTATTCTTTAAACCCACTCTGAGGTCAGAGGTGTAGCATGAGGACACAAACTGAAAATATAATACTGATAGCACAGAACAGGAGACAGATGACCAAAAAAAAAAAAACGAATTCAATTTTCAATTCCAGTAGGTTTTAAAGGTGAATTTCCGAGAAGCTTGCTTTTAAAATGTCAATCCCAGAAGATCTAAGATGTTGCTATGGAGAGAGTTATGGCTTCTTCTGTCACCATAATGTATTTGGGAGAGTGGATACCGATGGTCCATCTGTCTTTTTTGTCTATCCAGTCATCCATCAAAAACATCTCAAATGCCACCGATCAGATCGTCATAAAACTTAAAGGTATAATTCACTCTTTTGGTGGAATGACTGGATACATGCATCACGTTTGTACCCTGAAATGTGCAACAATTAGTCCAACAAGATGCATGTGGCTTGGTTAGTAAACTATTAAAGCTCCAGGACCTTTGAACTTTCAGCTCAACAGGCACCCAAAAGTTATTTTGTTCTACACTCCCAGTATATTCCCTTGCTTTGTATTTACAGGGCTGATCCTCAGAGACTGGATGCATTCATTATGGATAAAGCTCTGCTGGACTACGAGGTTTCCATAGATGCAGAATGTAAGACACTAACAGTCGGGAAACCCTTTGCAATAGAAGGTAAAGTATGGCTTCTTTAAATAAGACAAATGACTTTAGGGTTAGGGTTAGACAATACTGTATGTTCCCATGTGTTAAGATGTAGACTGTAGACTGATCTGACCATAGGCATTTTCTAAAGCCCTAGATGTAAGAATATCAATCACTCGACATTTCCACAGCAGTTAATCTTCTTGCTTTCAACAGCTTAGATCCTCTACTGTCTACTGTTAATCTCATGGGTCCATTTAGCAGGCTTCTTCTTCCTCCCACTGTGAAGATGTGAAGATTCCTGTGTTGTTGTTAATTACTTAATGCACCCTTAAGCCTCCAGGATACAATCCAAATCAATCAGTGTACCTCCTACCAAGGCGAGGTACTTCTGTAATTGGCTATCGCTGGATTTGTCAAACTTCCCTGGCATGCAAACAATTCTGAGATGTATTGACAATGTAAAGCAACTGCTTTCTTTTCAAGTGAGAATTGTGGGGGTAAAAAGTCTCCCTTATTTCTGTTCAGCTGTTCTTTTTTTTCGGTTGAAAGAATATAATGAGAGTGCATGGAGGTGAAGTTAACAGGATATTGCAGCTGTGACAGGGGAATAGTCACATTGTATGTTTGTGTGTGTTTCTATTGGCAGGCTATGGAATCGGCCTCCCTCAGAATTCTCCACTCACCTCCAACATCTCAGAGCTTGTTAGTCAGTACAAGTCTGATGGCTTCATGGACACGCTGCATGACAAATGGTACAAGGTTGTGCCCTGCGGAAAGCGCAGCTTTGCTGTGACTGAGGTAGGAACATAAACCCCTCTTATATACAACTACCAGCCTGGTCTCATAAACAAATGTGTCAATTACGCTTTAAGGTAAAACATTTTTTTCCATTCTGTGTTCCAAGATTGGCCAAATGCAATTCTGGAACCTATCGGCAGTCATTATGATGATTACGTTTTTTATTAGCTTGTAAACTGGTTACTTGCAGTCGTAGACATTTTGTCCAACACTCAACCTTACATCTCAAGTTGCTTACTAGACTATATATCTGAAGTATAATTGAACGCCACACAGAAAAGGCGATCTGGAACTATTGTATATTTATTGTCCTAAATACAATTTAAAAACAGAAAGGTTGTGAGCTGGAAAACCGAACAAATAAGCTGAAAGACACTACAACTAAAGTACCCTGTAGAGCTGAGGGGAACTGGGTGCATTTTTCTACAATTTTTTTTGTACCTATTACAAAAAGTAATTGAATCCTTTGTTTACATAAGAATATTGATTTGTGCAGCATTAAACTAGATCGATAGTCTTTGACATACATAGCAGGATTTAGAAAAAACCTATGATACCAACTGAAACACCACTTTTTATTTGCACCCATTCCATTGGTTAGTCCGTTTCTTTCTCTTTTTTTTGTTTCAAAAGTGTCCATACCTAACCATTCTCCTGGCTGGTATCTCAGAATAATTTCCCTGAACTGCCTGAACAATCTCTTTATTCATTCAGAGCCCGGCACATAACCCTCCACATGCTAACCGCGCTTTGTCTCCAAAACTCCAGTCCAATACATCCCTGGCCCTGCAGTCCATTCCCTTCTGCCATTACCGAGCACTTAGCTCTCTCAGCTGCTGTCTCTCTGCCCAGCTGTGACTCAGGAATCCCCAAAAGTGCTTCTAGCTGGTTGCCGACAGCACACTCACCATTATCAAGCATTAATTAAAACTCACTCCCAAAAAAACACATCCCTCTGCTACATTTTCATTCATTTATTTCATTAGCTAGTGTGCGTCGCAAAGGCACATAACGCCATGCTGGTTGCTCATTTACATGTTTAATTAGGATACATGCAAATAACCATACTCTCATATGAGCAGAAGTGGAACACTGCAGTACACAAACTCAGGGAACCAGTTGTTCTTCTCTGTGTCACAGCTAGACTTGCTACAGATGCTATCTACAGTTGCAGACATCTAAATTGCTCGAGGTGCATTTCATTTTGCAGCATCATGCCTCCGCTGACAGCAGAGGAAACTGCTTGACCAGTATTTTATTTCACCTGCGTGACATTTAATTTGAGATACAACTATATTAGTGAGTTGCTGTTCACACACATATTATAGATAGTGTTGTAAAATAAGTTATCTAGAATATGTTATATTCAATTGAATCAACTGAGTAGCAGTTTGTCAGACTTACAATGTGCTGTCAAAATGAACACTGGAAAATATCAGAGCAAAAATTCACTTGATCATATTTATATATTTTTTTATTTCACCCTTTATTTAACAAGAACACATTCTTATCTCTGGTTAAAGCTCCTTAAGGGGAGTAGGTCAACGTATCCTCATACAAAGGATTTTATGATATCTTAGAGAAAGGTAATTATTCATTAAGTCCAACATCACGATCGATTAGTAAGCCTTCGGAACACCACTTTGTTAAAGGTGGGGTAGGTACTGAGAAACCAGCTCGAGTGCGCTAGAATTTGAAAATACACAACCGGAAAAAATATGCCACTTCCTTACAGAGCCCCTCCTCCAAATTCTAGCGCACTCGAGCTGGTTTCTCAGTACCTACCCCACCTTTAANGTCACAACTGAGCCGGCCAGCTAACCAATCAGAGCAGACTGGGCTCTGGTTTCAGACAGAGGGTGAAAAGAGGTGCTGCAGCACAGGAAGTAGAGAAAAATAAAGAGCTTTTTGAACATTGAAGCATGGAGACATATTACAGTAGAGGCGTCAAATGCAAATAAGAATCTGAAAATGAGCAGAATATCTACTACTTTAAGTAAGGCTTATTTTGTATTCAATAGAAACAAATCTTGTTTCCTAACCTTAAAGGTGGTGTAGGTAAGTTTGAGAAACCGGCTCGAGATACACTTTTTGTTATATTCCATGGAATGCTCTTAACATCCCGANAAGGCCCCATTATCCTCATTTTCATATTAGTATTTAGTGTCTCTCCTGTGACATGTCTCCAGGCTTTAATGTTCAAAAAGCTCTTTATTTTTCTCTACTTCCTGTGCTGCAGCACCTCTTTTCACCCTCTGTCTGAAACCAGAGCCCAGTCTGCTCTGATTGGTTAGCTGGCCGGCTCAGTTGTGATTGGTCAACCGCTTAGAGATGTCCTCTTAGTATATCACTGCATGTGTTTGAGGGCTAGCCAATAGAAGCTAGAGTGTTACATAGTAATGTCATTATCTTACGGCAGTAAACAAAGTCATATGGATTGGTTTCAGGCAGGGGGGAAGAGAGACAATCCCTCTGGAAGACACTTTGTGATTTCAGCCTTTGCAGACCATTTACATGCACAGAAACCTATACACTAAAAGAAAGGGAAACCCACCAAAAACACAAAAGGGCCTCTTTAGTACGGGATTACGTAACTAATAAGCCAAACTTGACTTCAGGTTTCACATGGGACACAAACAGCTGTCTCCAGGGTGAAGATCTGGTGTCATTGGTCCAAAACATCGACTCTAAGCAAAACATTTTTACAAAAGACATCTGCCATTTCTTACAGACAAGCATTGCATAAATGACTAGCAGTCCAGCACAAAACCACGATAAACAACCTCAGGCTATACAACAACAGAACAGGAACAGCATACACATGCAGTTAGACAAACAAGCTACAGTAGAGAACAAAATATGCAGTAAGCAGCAGGCTGGCTCAGTTTAGTCCGGCTCAGCATTTTTCTGTTATACTTTTATTCATTTTTATAAAAGCTACACCTCCAGCAGAAAGCCTGTGAATCTGAAAAGATGAAAAATCTGACGGATTGGCTTCACCGACAACCTCACTGGCGCTCGTCCACCTTTTTCTCGCCCCAAATAATTTGAGTAATAAAATCAATACCAATAAATGACATATTATTCATTAACGAGGGCCAAACTTAACATTACGGAGACATAAATTGTGATCAAAGGGATGAGAAATTGTGATTTGTATGTAAGATTTTTGCATTAAATGTATGCGGTGGACTTTCAAATTATGAGATCACTGTGAAAAATAATGGTCTTATATGGTTGCATGCAGTAAAAAGAGACAATGTGTTGCCAAAGAAATGTCGTAGAATATGTGCTTGAATGTGCTGATCCAAGGAAGCCCATAATTGTGAGGAATATTGGAGTGAGTTGGCGCACAATAACTTACACTGGAGCATTACATTAGATAAATGTCATGTATCCTCAGTAAGCTTGTCATAATGTTAAAGGATAATACCACTGTCATTTTTATTTTTATTCCTGACTTGAAAATGTCTTCCCCGGCCGTCAGATATCACTACTGTCTGTATTTCCCGACTTTAAATCATCAGCTCCCACTCTCCAAAATGTCATTACAGCCAGCTTGCCAAATCACAATACTGCAATGACGAATTTAATCCATCATGTATTTTATTTTGTATTTGTTACAAGCATGACTTTATAATGCAATCATTGCATCTGCTGCTGTATCAGGAGATGCTCCATACTCAGCATTAAAAAAAAGATTCATATGAGAATGTACATCTGCGGTAACTGCAACCGGCGCTTAATTAAGAAAAGTGTAATATCACAATAGGAGATGCCAAACTTGTAGACTGGTCGTATATTTCCCAGAGCTTTCTCCATGGTGACACATTTAGAATGGAATGAGAGCCAATTAAGATGTGAGGGAGGGGGGGGGGAGTGTGATATCGCAGTGTAAGTCTTTCAGAAGGGTTTTCTTAGTATAGCAGGATTTGAGGAAATTCAAATAAAACTCCTACTGTTATATCCTATTTTAGATGTGTTACTCTCTGGAAAAGACAATGCTAATTAAGCATTGTGCACAAACATGGCAATTTAACTTGTTCCCTAATAAGTTTCCTCACTTTTTCAACTGCATTGTGTTGTTACCTTCTGATAATAACTGAGTTGAAAGCAAAAGTTAACTTTTTTTTGGAAAAACATTTGAACAACTGCAGCTTCAGTGTTTGTGCTCAAATATGTGATTCAATGCAAATGTCAATTCAGCTTTTTGTTTTTGCAAGATGTTTTTAATGGGATTTTTTAAAAGAATCGGAGCCGATGACTTGGTCTAGCTTAGGGATTTTTAACTATTTTGAATACATCACCCGGTTTACACATACAAAATATAATTACAGTAGTATTATCATGAGCTCCAGAATCATTTTTCTCATACACAATCCAAAGGCAAATGTCACACCTATTACTGAAAACAACATGTGCTTATTTAAGATAAGGATGCCAAAACACATGCTGTATGTCAGTATTTTTCTGAAATTACTTTTTTTCGCAATAATAAAATATATTCACTTTATGTCAAATGTTTTGTTTTGTGTTTTTACCGCAATGCAGCAAAACATAAGGGCTGGCTATTCTTTATTCAGTGAAGTAGCAGTACAGGGTTAACATTTCTTTTTACAAGAAACAGTCCTGCATTAAAAATCGTGTTCAAGTAGAAGTTAAACACGTGAGCATAAAAATGTACTTTAAAAACAGAAAGTAAAGATACTCTCAGTCAAGATTGTATATGTTATATAAAGCATGCATTAATGTGTACATAACACTAATGCAGCTTGGATAAGTGTTGGCCAATTTGAATTGCTTCATTACATTACTTACATGTCACTTGTTAGACGCTTTTATCCAAAGCAACTTACATACTCAATACTGTGGACAATCCCCACAGGAGCAATTTGGGGTGAAGTGTCTTGCCAAGGGACACAACGACATGCTGACTGCAGTGGGGTTTGAACCTGTGACCCCCTGATCCCAACACCTGCGCACAAATCACTGTGCCAAACGCCGCCCATATGCCGCTGGGTAGCTTAACACATGCATTAACATAATATATCCGTGGATTTACATGTTGCCTTATTAATGTAAATCTGCAAAGTAACTAGTGCCAAAAGTAATTTAGATGTGGAGTACAGTATAAAAATGGACTCTGAAATTAAGTGGAGTAGACAAAATTAAAGTAACTTGAAAAATGAAGGTATGGTACTTCCAAATGGTACACAGAACTGGGGTAAATGTTTCTAGTAACAGTACTGAGGGAGTTTGTATCATTTTAAGTCCCAGATTTTTGATACTTCCCAGACTTTTCCCAGACTGTTCATGAGAAGAAACAGATTTGCACAACTGATCTCTTTTTCTGTGTCTCTATCTTTCTTCTCTCCATCCCTTCATTTTCTTCCCCCTCCATTTTCTCTCCAGACGCTGCAGATGGGAATAAAGCATTTCTCCGGTCTGTTTGTGATGCTCTGTGTGGGCGTGGTCTTGTCTCTTGTGACCACAGTAGCAGAACACATTGTGTACAAGCTGGTGATCCCGAGGGTCAAGGAGCCACGCTTCAGATACTGGCTGCACACGAGCCAGGTACTGAACACACACACACACACACACACACACATTTAGAACAAAGTGAAGCACCCTTTGGATCATTGCTAATTAAATAACCACTCCACAATCACCATGACTCTGATTATTTAAGTGAGTGAGTGAAAGTAGCCGTAATAGAATGTCAATGTACTCCACTTTTCTACTTTTGCACACACACTGCATGTCATATTCCGATGAAACATCAGAATAATAGCTGATGTGTTTCTTGTTTTCCAGAGATTACACCGAGCCCTTAACTCCGTCTTCAACGATGACAAACTGCCGACTGTAACCAAGCCTGATAAGAGGTACTGTCCCCGCCATTGCAGGAATCAATACAATTTCATTTTTATCAAATAAATCCAGCAGACTGTAATGTAATGTAATGTTTTTTTTAAATAATTTGATTTGAGGTCAATCATATTCCTAAGGAATTGAACTGAATATGAACCAAGCCCAGTTTCGATGCTATCTTTTATGACCCATTTAGTGCACTTTCTTTTGACTTCGGAATTTGGCTTGTTCAAAATCTTACAGCAAGGATACAACAGAAACAGGTGCACCACTAGCTTAACACAGCTCTCACATTTTAAGAATCCTATCAAGTAACATTTACATTTACATGTCTTCTAGTTGCTTTATAAAGACTCAAATGAAAATGCACACAGTCCCTATTCAGAAACCATTCCTTTCAATGAGCCAACATGCCTTCCTAAAGTTAATGTCGCAATTACACACTTATAGGTAAATAGTGGTGTAGCAATGTTGTATCAGGACAGCCTGAAAACCCGAAAACCCTGACCAATCACAGCAAGCTGAATGTGTTATTAGGGGTCTTAAAGAGACAGGCACTAAAACAAAGCATTTCAGTCAGAGGGGTAATACAGGTATATTCCTACATACAGTTTGAGAAAAATAATGTGGTTTTGTTAACATTAAAGCATGGAAATATGTTCTAGTAGAACCCCAAAGTACAAATAGGGACCTGAAAATTAGCATTATATGTCCCCTTTAAGTAATGCTTTGTAATGAGTTCATCCATTACTGTTGGTAATTACATTGGATAGCTCCAATGTTTCCAAAAAGGCCATTAAACCACTGCAGAAGAGGACACAAAACGTGGTTAAAATGATAGAAACGTAGCAAATAACAGCATGACAAAATCCCTGGAGTGATAACTGAAGTACCTGTGTATCGTATTGAAATCCCTTTCCATCCCATTTGTACCTTTTCTTTCAAGTTTACAAACTTTTCCATGGTTTTTACTAAAATAAAAAATGCTTTATTACACAAACACACATGGTTTAGTTTGCATTTGTATACAGAGTTTTATCAGGCCACTGCACCCTCAACCAAATGCAATTTATTTTCCCTCCATCTCACATCTTATAATGACATAACACAACTGCAATACAAACAGAAGACAAAAAGAAGATTTAAGGAAGATGCAAGGCTAAAATCTAGGGTATCATTAAACACATCACATATGTGCACATAATCACTCAAAATAAAAATAAAATGTCTAGCAGGAAGCCAATTTTCCAAACTTAGACAGCCCAATGACCAAATTATCCGGCTGTGAATAAGTGACATCAATTAACATCCAAGTGGCAGTGAAGGGACCCGTTTAATCAGGAACTAAATAGATTGGTCAATCTGTTGGAAGCTAATTATCAGTAAGGGAAATTGAGGGAATAATCTCATGCTGACGTAGCGGCGTATTGTTTGGCTCAGTGGGTGACAGAGAGAGATTTAGTAAATCACGAAAGCTCCTTTTGGGTCCGTTTCTTTTCAAACGTTGCAAATGGGTGCACTTTATTACGGTTTATGTAACTAATCTGGACCGTCATTTTGACATCAATACAGTGTCTGTCATAAGATGATCCCCTTTTATTCACATTTGGTCGCTTCTGCCAATGCCAAGTAGCGCTTTGCTATCCTACAGCAAGCAAAGTGGGACATTTATTACTCTTTTTATGGTCTCTAAGGGGAGATCAAAACAACCCTCAAGCTTTTGCCGGGCAAAAGAGTTCCATTTCATCTTCCTCTATTTAAATTCTGCTTTACACCTTTCCCTACTTAACACCATCGCTGAGGGGACACTCAGGTGGAGCACTCAAAGTGGGGATTAAATACACGTAATAATTATGGAGCCAAGGCTGTGTGAGGGATGCCGGTGGTAATGAGGATAGATTACCTACGGCTGCATGATTTAGCTCATTCAATCAAGCTCTTCTGCCCCGTGCCTGCCCGCTGTCTACAAGTCAGAAATTATTACCGTCATGTTGCCGGTGTCCCATAGAAACCTGGTGTGTCTGTTTTGCATACATCGAACAGAAATATGATAATTTCTCCATTCATGTGATGATATTTAGTGATCTTAATTGCTCCAGCTTGAGGTCTGTTACCAAAAAAAACATGTGGTGCATAAACACCTGTTTTATCAGCATTATAACAAAGAGGCACTCTTCAACCAAATGGTGCATTTGGGTAAAAATGTAATTGGTCGAAAAATACTTCTTAGGATAGGGCTTAACATATTTTATTCCTAAACAAAGATGGCAGAGAAAAAAGATTAGGGAAGTGTATGTCTGAAAGAGTCCAATGTCAAATTAGGATTTTGTGATTTAGTACCAAACGCAGTGTTCAGGTCATGTAGATCCAACAAGGACCTGTTTTACTCACGCTAAGAAGATATCATATGTCACTGTTAGTACATCAGTTACAATTCAACTCTTTGATGGAGGGATTACATGGGATAGGATCATTGCTTCCCCTGTTTATACTTCTTTAAAAGTACTATTAAATTAGCGTTTTCTACATTGCTTTGAAACCTAGTTTTTAACCCAAATGTTTTGAGCTATCGATCATTCCGTCCCATTCTCGTAAACGCAGGATGAAAGGAAAGCCTAGAGTTATTTTCTAAAATGTTGCACAAACATCGCTTTGTTACTTGAGTTTGGTTTTGAAAGATCAGAGCTCAACATCACTTAGTCCTAACAAAACAAGTTTCTGGCCATAATGCGAGAATTCATACACTTATCATGACAGAATTTCCCACAAAGGCCTAAGGATGAAATAATGAAGTAATGGCATTTTATATTCAGAAGGTCAACTGCACTGTGACTTCAAAATGGTCTGCAGAAACCTTTTTAATAACCCGGGAATAGAAGGGGAGAATGTGACTTTATTCTACATTCAGATGGATACTGAATTGGTGAAACTAATCTTGGGCGCCTGCTCTGAAATTGAGGGGATTGTACTTTATATATCTTCTTTGCTGCAGGGGTTGAGATGTGTGTAGAACCTCCACTTTTTGGAATGTGCAGCTTGCTTGCAGTGACATTCATAGGGTACAGTCATGGCTGCAACTTTGAGTTGTTGTTATTGTTCTTTATTGCCTTTATAATTAAAAAATATCTCACATCTTCAATCCTTTTTTAATATTGGTCTCCATTTTGCGCAACATTCCAGCTGTGTTTCATTCATTGTTTAGAATATCTAAAGTATGTCTAGTTAACACTTTGTATTGAGCTTCTGATGACTCACCTATGAGTGTACATAAAATTCCCTCAAGAGATCAATTTCAGGGCAACGAGAGGGACTCTGCAGAGTGGAAATAATTGGGCCGGCTTTGTTCTCTCCTGTCTCTCCTGCTGTGTTAGCACACCATCACAATTATTTGAAAGGAATCAGAAAAGATAAGACCTACAGTATAACAGTTTACTGCAAGAACACACAATTCTACATTGTTTTCAGCCTCGGCAGGGCGGTCAAGAGGTCATTTACAGCTGTATGACCTTCTTGTTGGGATTAAATATCTTGCTCAAGGTCACTCCAGCAGGGGGCTTGTCTAATGTGTCCTGCTTGTTGAAGGACTCCCTATTCACTGAGCTACAAGCTGACGCACATCTGTACTGACAGATGGGTGGGGAAAAAGAAATCAGTGGTGAAGTATTTAGTTCCTAGAGAACTGCCGCAGGGAAACACGAGCTGTGCTTCTCATAAGTCGCACTAATGAACAGGAGACATAATAGTATTTGGAAGTAGCCTTGGATTCTGTATTGGTGTCTGTTAATCTACAGTAGATTGCAACTGTTAGGGAATCATTTGCTTAGGTATTCAACCTTTGACACAGTTCATCATCTTCTCCTCTCACTGTCTCCTTTCTCATGGCATAGGTCTACGGCCTCGGGTATTGCTGCTATCTCTCTTAAGGAGGAGCAGCTTGGGCGCATCGTTGTTGCTAATCTATGACAGAGCACTAGCCGCCATGTGAGGTAGTTTACTGTTCAGGGACGAAGGTTCCCTGGCCCACATTCTTTCCTATGGACGAGAGCTCTAGTTAGATTCAGGGTCCATAATGTTTAGTCTCACTGATGAAGAATGTTGATTATTACACTCCGAACTACCGGTAGTTAAAACCTCGAGCTACAGAAAAAGAGTTCTTCAGAATTGGTTTGGCAACCACTGTGTCAACTCGTGACACACCACCTGTCTTGTCAACTCTCCGGCCGTAACTCCAAATAAACCACCAGTGTTTGCCATCAAAGCTCCAGCTCGCCCCGTGTCTCCTTCATGAGTCGGTGACTCCCACTGCATTGCTACACAGAAGTTTCTCCCACAGCAACATTATTTGTGAAACCACTGCTGATGGAGAAAAATCCATATTTATGAAATTGCAAACGAAGAACTGGAGGTAAATTAATGCGAGGAATCTGGTGAAGTTGCAAATTGGATGTAGGCGGGAGCAGATATCTCTGAAAAGTATGTGGACGATTGTGCGAACTGTATATTCTTATTTGAGAATATTTGCAGTTCTCCAGCAGATGTGAAAGCAACATTATATCCCGGTAAATGATAAGGTAGAAATATGCTGACTTTCATCTGTGTATAGGCGCTCTGACATCTTCACATACATAATGTAAAACCAAGGGCCCTGTTTGTTTCCGACTGAGAAAAGTAGACGCCCTCTGATGTGAGTGAGAGGAACACTATAATGAGCTTTACGTTTACAAACTTATTTTCCCCACCATCTAGGTGAATAATGATGTAAAGGACATGAAAACACTGCAGAAAGAAATAATGATTTGTATTTCAGCGTGCTTTTCATCTTTTAAACACTTTGCAAGTTGCACGGCACTTTCTGACCTTGACATCATTATTTCTTCTGGGAATCTCTAACAGGGAACAAAGAAAGAGTTGGTGTTTACATAGTATATTATATAGTCAGTCAAAATCATCACGTCCATTCACATAATGAAAGTTGAACAAGCTCCTATTCCATATGGGAGTGAGGCAAGGACTCCTAAATGCTAAATAAATCAACTCAGAGGCTGGGTGAATACGAATTATCTATATTTGCGTCACGTTTTGAGAACAGCCACAAAGTGCTTTCAATATGAATGATAAAAAGGCAAAAGCTTATCAATCAATAGAAGTAAAAACAAGCCATGCAAAGGTATAAGAGGTCGGGAGGAGGTATTTACAGATAAAAGCATGACGGAGTGTCTCTAAAGGTGACTTCCAAGCAGTTATCTTAAAGTCTGACGTGTCCACTCTCATTGAGAACTAATAGCACAAAAGCTAACTGAAAAAGCAACTGTTTCTGTCTAGACGTTTGAACGCCAACAAGGGACCTGCTGTTTTATTTCATGCCATTAAGTTCATACACTTACACCCTCACGTAATGCTTCTTAAGAATCTGAAATTGGGGTGATTATCTTGAGACTCTAGGGCCTAGGCTAAAGCAATTTGATAAGTTGTACCTCATTGCAAAAGGATTCTCTCTTTCATTGCAGCCGTGATGTAAGCACAGGTGCCTTCTTGTCAAAAGTTGCAAACATCATTTTTAAGATAAGGTTCTTTTCATGTTCCTCTTCTCTGACGCCTGATCATTCTGGTGTCTTTTGATGTCAAAGAGTATCTCATTAGATTCTTCTTGATCGCTATGGAAAGCTCCTTTGATTCAGAGGGGTGAGGGGAGTCTCTTTTTCTACGTCTCTCAAATGAAATCAAGGTTATTTCTCACCTTCATATCTGCTTCAATGGATATTAAAAAAAAAAAGTCAGAACTGCCTTATATATGACTGCAGGAAAAAATATTTGTGTTGCTTTATGTAATAGTTTGGGAGATCCAGAGGCTTTAAAATGTTTCTGTTCATATTGTACAATCAGTGTACCATTTAAACCCAATAGTAATCTACCATTCTTCTCAAAAAGCAACGTTTGAATGAGAACTCAGGATGTTGAGCTTACTCACCACTTACCAGCCAAAACACCCCATAACGTTATTTTAATAAAGCACTAGTCTGCAAGAAATACCATACAGTTCATTATGTTTAAGTCTGACTGTGTCTGAATGTAAAATGGGGTTTTCTCTAGAGCTACTGAGATACGGTAGGTCTAACTATGCTAGACTTAATGTGCTATCCAACAGATACATATTTCAATTATAACTATATATTTGGAAGTATCTGGATAAAGACTGAGGCTGCCTCCAGGAAAAACATTTCCATGGTTTTGAGAAGCAAGGACTCTCTGGTATTTTCACTAAACTCAACACCATCCAATCATGTATTGCAGATGTCACTTTATTTCTGCTTTCTTCCTATCAAGTTCTGATGCTGTGTTGAAGAAGAAAAAATAGAAACTTTGGGCAAAAGTTCAAAGTGACTCGATGTGACAGGAGTTTGTTATGGTCGGTGCAATCAAAGGTATTGATGTGACCAAGGACGACAATGTCAGGCTGTTTTTTTTAAGTTTGTGTAACTGTGAAGCTCCTATCTATTTTGTTTTACACATACACTTTCTTTGTAAATAAAACCTAGTTATGCAGGGTGATTGAGTTGAAAAGACGGCTAGGCAACGGCTGTTTAATGGAAAATTATGGATCACTCAGTTGGTCCATTCCTATCTTGCACGAGCACGAAGAGAAAACATGAAAGTTTGAGGGAATTTGCAAGCGGGAATACAACATTATTATATCATTGATATTGTGACTGACACCTCACTCCTCCAAATCGCGGTGCTGCTGCTGGTGCTCATTAGGGTTAAAGATGAGGGTAGACCTCCAGGATGGATGGGAGAGGTCGGCCGGGGTCAGTGTGAGTCCAGGAGGATATTAATTGGACATGAATTCGTCCAGTAAGCCTTGTCGTTCAAGGTCTACTTATTTGATCTTGAAAACCAGCATGGGGGATATTCATCATTGATATTCATCATTGCTATTCATTAATGCTTATTTGCCTTATATGTGACATTATTAAGACTTAATACAGGCTTCAGTTCATGCATGACTGCTCAAGCTGCAGCATTACAATCATCAGTTTCACAATGTTTATTGGAAGCCATTATAGTTGAGCTAGACAAATTATATTTTCTGGCCAAAATATTGGTAATGTGATCATTAGGGCAAGCTAGTCTGAGCACAATATATGAAGATGTGCAGCTTAATGTCATTATGGGGTCAATCAAATGATTGGACGACAAAATCCCCACAAAATATACTATCATATATTATAATAAGGGGAGAATCAATCATTTAACCTATTCAGACAATATTTGCCAGAAAAGCATGGACTTCCAATTAAAACAAGTCTAAGAGGCTAAAGCAGGGGTCTGCAACCTTTTTGACCAAAAGAGCCATTTTGCTCATTTTTCCAAAACATTTTTTTGTCTGGAGCCGCAAAACATATTTCATAGCTCATAAAGTTGTATTTATTGTTATGTCAGACAAAAACTACAGTTTTCTTTGCATTTATTAGGCTATTTACAACATTATGTAAAACTGTTAACCTCTAATAAGAAACAAAGAACTCCTATAAGGAGAATTAAAAAATAATACACAGGCCTACCTTAAAATAAATTAAACACAGCACTTGGGGAGTCCTCTGCACATTTGAAGGAAAAAAAATATTAAAATGGGCCCACTTTGAAATAAATAAAACATATAGCTGCACCCTAAAAATAGTTAAAGGTAGGTGTTAAGCTTGGGTGCACATGAATCGCGTATGAACAATAAGTAAATCAGACTCGGTATTCTCTTCAGCATGTCTCCGGTAAGTTTATTCACAGACTGACAACAGTCAACGTAGTGACGTCACATTAGGACGTACCTTCATACAAGAACAGAATAACAGTGCGACTGCTACCGTAGTACACAGACTAAGGGCGTCATCAAATAATATTTGATGACGCCCTTAGTCTGTGTACTACGGTAGCAGTCGCACTGTTATTCTGTTCTTGTATGAAGGTACGTCCTAATGTGACGTCACTACGTTGACNTACATCGACATGTTGACTGCAGGGGCTGGGATCGAACCCACAACCTTCTGGTTGAAAGACGACCACACTCCCTCACAGCCACACACTGCTCTGCTTTCTGCACGGACCTCACAGCTGTTCTCAATGTAAACATTGCGTCTTGATTAAAGCAGTTAATACAATAATATCAGGGGTTGCATGCAGAGCTGTCATTGGTTGAGATAAGTCGGGCAGTGCGTCACGACTCTTTTAACATCACTGTTGCCGGAAATACATCCGCGGAGGATCCATTTAGAGAAATTAGATGTCCTTCAACATGGCGCGCTGAAATCCATTTCAGGATCACTACCGGAGGACCGAGGATTCGAGGAGTTGAAGAGAGGAAATTAGAGAAATGAGAAACCTTCTCTGACATAACTGAATAAAATAAATGGAGTGTTCTGACAGGTCAATCATTTTAACAGACATTGTTTTTCACAGCTGAAAAATATATATATTGACTATCTTGGAATCAATGCCACATTTGTTTAGTCTACTCCGGAACAAAGTTATATTTTTTTCTTAAATTGTGTGATATTTTTTGTCTCTTATGGCTACACAAAAGTATTTATATAAAACTCATTAAATCCTAATAAGATGAATCCCTTGTCCCTGATCACACACCCTTCCTCAGTGAGTGCTGTGTCAGCTGTTCAACTTTTGTTTAACACCGCTGGTCATTTCCCACTTTCAATTTGTTTGCTCTCTCACTGGCTTATATGTGGCCTTAGTCTCTTTATCCATCTTTGTGCCATCCCAAACTTTTTAATTGTGCCCTTTGAGAATGCTGTGTCAGGTGCTTAAGTTGCGCTTCACACTGTATATCGCTCTGTCGGCGTATGCGTTATATAAACCAAAGAGCAGCCAATCAAAATTAATGATGACAAGGCTGGGATTTTGGCCAATTAGCAGGGAGACAGTAATTTATTCCGAATGTTTCACATGGCTGGACCAATGGGAGGCTGTAGAGGTTAG